TTGCGTTGCGTATCGCGCTGCGTAAACATAAAACCATGTCTGCATTTGTGATCGGAGAAAGGACAAACAACAAGCCCTACTCTACACTGCTCAAAACTCGTGTTTGAATCATCAGTGGCAAATCCTTTAAATATGAAAACGTACTTGCAGTGTGTGAGTCAGAACAGCCGGCATTGTAGTCTACTCTCCCAGGATCAGGAAACAGTCCTCCATAAAATGAGCTGCTCACATCTGACTATTTGGGTTGAACTGTTCTGGAACAGTGTTGTAAATACAACTTAAACACTGATTTCTAGTCGTGTCCTCTTTTGGAAGGCCAAACAAAGTAGTTTCGCTTTCACAACGAAATACACAACATCTTCACGACATGGCGGTGGCGGTGGCAGCAACAATAAAGTTACGCCTTCTTTCTTTGCGTGAACATTTGGGTGGTGTTATGCAAATCTTCCCACATCGTGACATAGACATGCGGGGGCATGTTTAAACGAGGCGTTTTAGGAGGGCGTGGACGAGTCTTAACTTTTATAAAGAATATCTCTTTGGATTTGAGACTTTAGTCTTTGCAACTTTACAGATCTTCTTTATGCAGCAAGAGCTTGTAACACTCCAAAGAGAAAGGAAAAATTGAAATCGCATCATATGACCCCTTTAAGATCAAATTTGGAAAACCTTTAGCTGTCTGGAACAAGTGTGCATATCTCAAGTATTATATACAAAATATCTTGTTTTGTCTGTAATTGTTCTTAAACATCTTTGACTGACTTTATTCAGTTTACGATAAGCCTAACTTACAAATTTCCTGAAATCAGCTTTTCCATCTATACTGATGTACACTGTGCATTATCATCAATTCATGACCCTAAAGTGCAGTTAATTGTGCATTATGTTCTTCAGAATACATTAAATGTTTGTGTGTGGTGACAAATCAATATTAACTCCCCCCCCCCTCCTGGTCAGTAGGTTGTTGCTCTGTGGGAACATTAACTTCATTTCCTGTTCAGGCTGTTTAAGAACCTCTTCCATTAGTTTTGAATCAGCTAAATGAGGTTGGAAGTTGGGAGAACATTAAGTTTGGTAAACTGTAATGTTTTGTTTTGTTTTTACAGGCGTAGAATCTGATCTCTTTACATTCCATGGATAATTTTGAAATAAATTCAACAAAAAAAAATTTGTGACTGGTTCAAAAATGTACTCTACTGTCTAGTATATGAACACATTAGAGTCTGATAGCCCTTTCCCTTTGGCCACATAAGAAAAACTGACAGTTAAGCACAGTTTAAATAAATTCAACTTCATATTTCAAAAATTGTTGTGGCTTGTTGAAAAAAGACCTTAGTTGTCCTAAATGATACTGATTCAGTGTCAGTGCTGGGTAGTAACTGATTACAAGTAATCTGGATTACATAATCAGGTTCCAAAAATTAAGTACTTGTAATTAGATTATATTACATTTTAAAATACTCGTAGTCAAACTACAGTGATGATTATTCCATGATTACATATTATTCACACAATAGCAATAAATCATTTATTCAATCATTCATTCATTCATAAAATAGCCCGCTTGTATACATTCAGAAAGCTGAACTTTTCCATGACATTCTAATTTATTGAGATGCACCTGTAAATACACAAAACATTGAGAGGCCACACAGCATTTGAGCACTAGATGTACAAAAATCATACCAAGTGTTTACTTCTTAAGTTCAACTACTGATGGACACATTAGTGTTTGTTTGAATTACCACTCAATCGGTTATTTAACTAAATATTACAATGTCTTTGGAAGGCTTTTGTCTTTCAAACACGTTAAATGCACAAACTTGTTATTTCTTATTTACATGTAATGCAGGAATGCTCTTAACTTTTTTTAGTAGCTGAACCTCTTTCAACTAATACGTATATTTACTTGAAGCACCCACTGATATTTTAAATTAATAATTAAGTAACACATTATTAAAAAACATAAAATATTTCATATTTTTTAGTGTTTTATTTTGATTATTGTTATTTTAAAATGCTTTATTTTAGCTTCATATTAATAATGATGAATGGAATGATTTTTTTCTCTTTGTATTTTTATGTCCGTATGGTACAAGATTATCCTGTTTAAATCAATGTGATAAACGAGTTAGGTCAAAAGTAGTCTGATTATATTACCTGAAATGTGTAATGTAATGGATTACGTTACTAACTACAATATTTGTCATGTAATTTGGAATCAGTAATGGACTACCTTTTGTAAGTAATCTACCCAGCACTGTTCAGTATGCACTTATACTATGTACTATTTAGTCTACTGTGTAGTGTATGAATTTTCTGAAGTTCTTTTTCATCCAGTATCAGAGTTTAATAGCCCCTTCCCCTGAGCTACATAAGGACGAGTGCAACAGTTAATTAAGTGCATTATCTGGTTATTTGAAGTGCACTTTTTCTTTTTGGACTGTTCGGTGTGAACACACTGCTGACACTATGTATGCTACAAAATAGCTTAGAGTAGTGCATAAGTACACGTTTAGTGTAGGAAGTGGACAACCTAAATTGTCATTGGCTAGCTGACTAACAGGTTAATGTGTTACACACTAGACTATGAACTTCAGCATTACCTGTTGTTTACTGAAGTTGTAAACCTGTTAAATATCAAGCTGTTTGCTAACTTTACTGACCAAGTTCAAATCAGATGAAGAATTTCATTTTGTCCCGAATGAGTGCAGCAGCAGCATGTGATGTACACCTACAAAACCCCTCAATTCCCCTCAAAAAAAAAAAAAAGCAGGCACAAAGAAAACACCGAGATTCATATCTTTTATTTTTTCTGGCATGTAAAGTACAAATAATTAAACAATTCCATGAAAAAGTCCTCAAGCGTCTTCAGCTGAAATCCCAGTAATAAATATCCTAAACTAAACTGAAAGGTTTATTCTTTTTTTCCCCCTTTGTTATGTGTTTGTCTTTGTTTGTTTATGTTTGGAAGTATGAGATTTTTCTTCGTGACACACAGACACTGAGATCAGGAGTTCTGCTTTTGATCTTTTTTTTATTATCATTATTGTTCGTTTGTTTTATTCGGTTATTGTTCTGTTATTCCTGGAAAATGGTTTCAGAAGAACGTTGCTAAGTAACTCTGTGTCCCTCCTAAATTAACTGACACAAAATACAACTGGTTGAGAAACAGAGTGACCACTGACCCCTTTATCTAGCTCAGCGCCTCGCCTGGCCCGTCTCCCCCGCTGCGCTTTCTTCGCCCACGTCTGCTAAACGTTGCGCTCTAGCCCTCCCACTGACTCTTTTATTTTCTAGACCGCTCTCTCGGTCGGTTTGACGGCTGTATGACAGCGGGTGAGAGGTTTTTGGCGAGGGACGCTGAGCCTAAGGCCTGGCTGCTGGTCCGGACCGCGCCTCGCCCCGCCCCCCCAGGCCTCGCCCCGGGCCCTGACTCACTATGGGGTTCTGAACGTGGCTGGAAAAACAAGACTGTGATTAGATTAAATAATCAAAAGGTTTTCATTTAACAAGACAAACAAAACACAGGCATTAAAGGCATAACATCTAGCACACAGCATGTATGTTTATACACTTCAATTAGTTTAATATAGCAGTGCATTCTTTGCCTATGGAGAACTTTTCCAAATTAATTCTAAAGCAGTTTTTTTTTCTGTTTTTTTTTTTTTTTTTAATGTATTTTTTTTTTTTATCTATTTGTTCCCTTTAAAGAAAAACAAAAAGGTGTAACCACATTTTGGCAAAATGAAAAGTATTTAAACTTGCAAATATAATGAAATAAACCATAAATATACACAAAACATACTTTCATACGAGGCAATAATAATAATCATAATAATGATAATAAATAGTTTTTAAGTTAACAATAAGTTAAAACTACAAGCTTAAAGTCGCCCAAATAATACAAGTTCATTGGCGCTATATTGATTTTTTTTTTTTCAGTTTAAATTATTTATGTTGCAACAAAAGCTACCACAGACTTTTACAAACACAATTAAACACATTTTGATTGAAAGGAAATAATTCTAACTAATTCTAAAACCTGCATACACTGTAAGAACAGCAACTAATTATAAATAATGGAAACAAATATAAGAAACCATACCCAATAAAAGGAACCGAAACGAAATATTCGACCCACGTGTGTCCTCTATGGCAACATCAACAACACAAATACACTAAGTTAACGTGTGATTCTGATATGTAAAATAAATCAATAAATTACAGGAAAAATTATACTCTGAAATCAACATGGGCTAAAACCGATGATATTTTAGACAGTATTCCATTCACGGTCTTTTAGATTTGCTCTTTTCGGTACCATAGATGGCTGTTTGTTTTAGCTTGCATGGTCAGAGCACTAATAAGGGGGTGGAGGAAGGGATAATGGACATTTTTAGAGACCAGAGCTCTTGGTGCTTGTTTGATTCTTCTAATGAATCTGTTAGTTAACACTTTTTTTTCATTTTGTTGTTGTTCGTTACATTTGATCCTTTCACTATTCTGCAAACCATTTCAGTGTGACGTTTAATTTCTTTTTTAAAAAATATATATATCTTTTGTTCTCAGTCAATATAAAAACGAAGCACATTGCACTTACTGTTCCATAGGAAAGTTTTTTTTTTTCTTTTTTTTTTTAATGATTATTATTGTAGTTGCTCAAGCGGTGCAGCATGTTTGTTTCCTGCCATTGTCCTTGGCTCTGAGGGGATGGGGGAGCGGTGTAGCTAAAGTGTTCGTTGGGACACTCGGCCAGAGGGACGACGCTAAAACCTCCCTATGGCCACTGTATCTACCCCATCGCTCATTTTAGAGGGCGGACCAATCTTTACGTCTAGGATTTTTGTCCCCTCTAGGGCACACTACCGATGAGTTCCAGGATGAGATGCGTTAGCGAAAGAAAAACGTGTTGCTTTGTTAATGTGGCGCAAGCTGAGGGGGTTACTTCAAGATGTATCACAGTTTTGATACAATGGGAATGCTGTGGAGGGCCTAGAGACACTCTGATATGTGTTGTGTGTGTGTGTGTGTGTGTGTGTGTGTGTGTGTGTGTGTGTGTGTGTGTGCGTCTAAGTGTACGTGTGTCACACTCTTGCTAAATGTTTCGGACTGACCTTTTTCCCTTCATCAGTGACAAAGCTAAGATCCCTTGGTTGGTTAGTGCTTGTGCAAAGGAGCAAAATTAGGTGTTGACGATATGATGGTGGAATACAGGAGATATGTGGAGCAGAAATTAAATAAAAACAAACAAATCTAGACAGCACAATGATAGACATTTGCTTGTTGCGTTGACATACTGGTGAATATAATCCACTATGGATTATTGTGTGAGAATTGATTACATTAATAAGTGCAGCTACATTACATTGTCAATTTATTTTTACTTTTTTGGTGCACCGAACATGCTGAAGCGTTAAGGTGATTCTTCTTTTTTGTTTTTGCCGATACAAGATGAGATGCTCTGGGTGTTCGATGTGACGCCGTTTCGAGCATCACTGCACCGTCATTGAAACAACGCTTGATTTTTTTCAACACTTTAGAGAAACCGTAACGTCGCTTTCCTGTGTAATGCATACATGTACCTGTCTGCTGATTCTTTTTTTAAATGTTTCGTATGTTTCTATTTTTTTTTGTGTATTTTTGAAAATGAAATGGTTTCACTGCATGTAAGTCTTAGTCCCCAACCCTCCGATCCCCTCCCTAACACCGCAGACTGGCCCTCTCTCCCAAAGTTGAAAACTCTGAAAATAAAAGCCATGCGGTGTGTCCAAAGATTTCCACGATTTAAGAATCTGTAAAAATGTTGCACAAGGTCTTGTGTTTTTTTTCTTCGTCGATATAAAAATATATTAATCTCTAATGTAATCCTTTCAAAGAGATCATTGTCCTCTTTGGCTAACACAGCGTTATTTAGAAAAGCAAAATGTCACTTGATTTGAACACACATTTACATCTTTCAGTTCTTTTCTTCATATAATGTGAAGTTTTGCGATTTTACAGCAATGTCAATCCTCATGGAACAGTTTTGTTTGTTTTATCGCAGGGCTGTGGACAGCTTGGGCATTGTCTTTAATGTATCTAGGGAATTTTTCAGTTATGAGATTTTGTGTGCAGCTCATGTGGCTGCGACTTGCTTTAAAGGGTCTTGAGGACACTAAATTGGATTTGATATGTAGCCGTTTAGATACGCAGGGGCTGCTAAAACCGGTTCGGGAAAGCGAATTATAATGCGATTCTGTTTAGTGAATGGAGTTAAATGTGTCTGAGAAATGATGAAGACCAAGGACGACCAATCCCAGTGGCCTCTGACCTTCATAACAGCTCACTCTTTTGCTCAAAGAGCTGACACACAGCCTTTCCTACTCCCGAGCCATTCAAACCTGTTTAAAATGATCTAATATGGTTCTGGATTCCGCAGTCGGCCTTCGTAATTGGTTTGAAAGACTTTCAAAAGAATTCCAAATGCCATCGCCATGGGAACACTGTCGAAATGCCCCTAGTTACACAAACAACTGCATGTGGTGGAATTGATTCTAAATTCTAACTCTAAAACTCAGAGTGGAAAGATACGAGGAGATTCTAGGTCGCCATGTTTTGTGATGTTTCGCTATGCCCTCCAGCGGAGGTGCGTGTGTGCCTGTGCGTGTATGTGTGTGTCTCTGTGATGAACGTTGTCTTTCGGTGTGCTGAGGTGATTGTGATGACCCCCGGGTGACCTCTCGATTTGTGACTACCATCCACACAGTTTGTTCAGTGGCTGTTGGGTTGGACCTCGAGTAAGGTGTGTGTGGTGCCATAAGGCAAGGTTGCAACCTAATGTAGAGCCAGGAAACCGTAATCAAAGTTCTAGAAAATGCTTACATATTTGGCTATTAAAACCACCTTAAATGTTGAATATATAGTTATATCATAATATATATAAGAGAACACTGTTTTAATCATTTTCTCTAAAAAATCACTGATTCAAAATGCCCAAGTGTAAAAAAGTGACTACATCCTCTGAAGCCAGACAGGAGAGTTACTGGGGCAAGATTTCGGGTAAATTGCACATATTCGATTGACTTTTTTTTCCGTTCGTTCGTTGACCAGTTCTCTTACTTTGCCTGAATTAAATTAAATCTCTGCAGACATTCTCTGTCACATTCATAAGACTGTCCCTCCTCGTGGATTTCCCCAGCCCAGCCCCGCCTCACAACTCTGCTAATTCAATACAGGCAAATGTTGGGAAGGACTAACATGTTGTGTAAAGAGAAAAGAAAAACAACTCTACTTGTGTATTTTTGTTTGAAACAACTAAACGTGTGTGTGTATGTGTGTGTGTCAAATGTGTGTTAGAGAGAGACTCAGTCCAGGCCCATGTAGAGTGAATGTACAGGGAGCTCAGTAGCTCCCCCTGCATGTTAAAGAGCAGTAGTGACTAGGCCTTCCTTCAAGCCTTGTGCTGCTTGCTGGTCTTGAAAGAGACCTGCAGCACGCGGTCGCCCAGGCGGTAGCCGTTGAGGCTGGCGATAGCCATGGCTGCCTCGTCGTAGTTGGTCATGGTGACAAAGCCAAAGCCCTTACATTTGTTGGTGGTGAAGTCACGGATGACCTTGACGTTTGTGACAGCGCCGAATGGCCCGAAGAGCTGCCACAGGACGCTTTCGTCGGCTTCCGGGGACAGGTTGTAGACGAAGATGCACCAGCCGGCTCCGGTGGGCCCGGTCAGGTTGACGCCGGCTAGACTGGTCATGCTGTCAATGGTTATGGGGGAGAATCTGGGGAGGAAAGAAGGAGAGCTACCATGGGTGTCATTCTGAAGTTCAGCACAGCGCGCTTCTCATTACCACATGTTCCTGCCACTTTTGTCTCTTTGAGGACCGGACACTCGCTCTCCACAGCCTTAAGTAGGTAAGAAAATGGGCAGCTATTGTATTATTAACTATGTTGACCAAACCAAACTCTAGTCCCTGTTAGGACACAGAATTCACAATGTAACAAAATCACGATATACTTAGCAAAACAGAAACCTAGAAAGGGATGAAGGCAAATCAGAAACAAATCAACTGAAAATTGGAACGAACAGAGGAGACGCAAACGGAATCTTGTATGTCCATGCTGGTGGAAAAAAATACATTAAAGCAACCAAAACTGAAAAAAAATAATAATAATGTTAGTTCAATACATACAAATCAGTTCAATCAAGGAATCAACCAAAAGAACAAAAAGGTTCAACAAAGCCATGCCAGAATGTCCTGTTGTGATATCAGCTATGTCAATCTAGTCTACTGAAACGGTGGTTTATCAAATCAAATCTCTAATGGTAATGCTTAAGTCAGCAGGTGATATTCCGGGCACTTTGTTTGAGCTTGTTTAGGCATGGATGCTTTTGAAAGGACACCTTTTTTTGTGGAAATTACCTCTTGACTCCGTAGCTGGCGTTTAGTAAATTGTCGAGTCTGCAATGCAAGAGGGAGAGTGACGGAGGTGAAGATATTAGTTGCAAGATCCAACAACCAGAGACAAGCGTTTTCATGCAGCCACTTCAGCCACCAGGGGGAGCGCTTTACTGGGCACCGCATCCACCAGTCAGCAGGCGGTGGCTCGCCCGTCGTGCTGACGCAGTGCTTACAGACTCAGAGGCTGAGCCCTCAGGCGATGGATTGAGAGTACTGCGATGAATGCTTGTGAATGCATCCATGATGTGAATGATTGACATGCAGTGTTTTATCTCTAAGCAGGGCAGTTCTTTTAAAATTAAGCACTGCCTCAGTTGGGCCCGTTGTGATTTGTCGAAAAAATCCCCCTGATGGCATGAACGCGCTGCGGTTTAAAGGAAAACCGGCAGAAGAAGAGTAGGGAGCGGTAACGTTAGGGGTGTGAGCTGCAGGTGGGAGCGGTACCTGAAGCGCTGAGTCTGGTGGTGCAGAGGGCCGGTGAAGCGGCGAGCAGCTGTCTGGTAAAGCTGGGTAAGCAGGGCCTGTCCCGTCTTCTGACTGGGGTTGTTGGCGAACTTCACGGTGATGGGCTCGGCGGCGCCCAGCGGCTTTTGACCATTCAGGCCTTTGATGGCCTCCTCGGCCTCGTTTCTCTTATCGAACCGAATGAATCCTACTCCGCGCGATATACCTGCTCCGGACAGAAAGCGAGGCAAATGTTAGCACCGTCAATCGAATCAATGACAGATAAGTTGAGTCATGTGGTCACAGGGTTAAACCAGACTGTTTACTTTAGTACTTTATGATCTACTTTTTCTACTTTAAAAATAACCATATTCAGTGCAAACCATTTAATTTCCATACTGTGACGTATTTCTCAGTGATGCAGGAAATTTGATGAGAAAAAAAATGGGTGGGATTTGATTTTATGTATTGGGAAGTTGGCTTTTGATTAACACTATGTTAATATCAATGAAAAGGATAAATGGTTTTTGATTTAGATTTTTTTTTTTTTATTAAAACGTTGTACAGATGAATAATGCATAATTGTATATTTCAATAGACGTCTTTATTCTTTAGTTTGACATTTTCTGTGAGGTTGTACTGTTTTACATTTTTTATTCATTCAATCCTTTTATACCCAAAGGATTTGTGGTTTTTCTCATAAAGTTTGTTTATTTATTTATTTATTCATTCATTTATTTATGTGCAACTGTGTAGCACTTGGGGTCACTTCAGTCTTTGTTTTTTATTTGACAGTAAGATCAGGAATCAGGATTATTATAGTTTACTAAAACTAAAAGATTAAAAAATGTTACTTGAAATAAAATAAACAATAAAAATATTAAAACTTTTATTTCAGCTAGTTGCCAAACATTTATCATTTTCATTTGGTTTATCTTAACATACTAAAATAACTAAAACTAAAATGAATAAAAACTAGTCATGTTTAAACATACCTAAATTATTACTAAAATTAATTCAAAATATTACCAAAATAACACTGCCAGGAATGTGCATTGGATATGTAAAAATGGGGTCAATTTTTATTTCATGTTGACTGTGGGGGAGCATATAGCTTATTTTTTGCATCACATCCAGAGCTTTAATTAGATTTGTAATCCTCCCCCAGGGTGCCTAGGCTGTTTGTGGAAGTGAGGTAACGTTTACCTGTGACCTGGTCTACCAGGATGCGTGAGGTGATGATCCTTCCATACTGGGAAAACAACTGCTCCATGTCTTTCTGACTCATGGTTTTGGGCAGGCCGCTCACGTACAGGTTGGCATCGCGTATGGAAGCTGAGCTTGGTCTGGCATAGGACACCTACATCGCACACACACAACACAACAAGGAGCTGCAGTTTAGGATTTCTTTTAATAGAAATATTAAGAAACATGCATCAAGACAGCTGTGACAGTCTTAAAACTCCCAGCAGTGCAAACTTTCAAGTGTAGTCGAAGCAGATATGTCACAGCACTGCCACGCTCAAAGGCGAGACATCCGCCCACTCTCTCTCATCCCTCCTTCCTTGAAATCCACGTCTCTTACGTGCACTTCACTCCAACCAAACCTGGTTCCCTTATTAAACGCTACTTCAGCTTCACTGTGCTCCTGACAGCAGAAACACGAACCCACTCTCACATTCACACTTCCCCCCCCATACGCATCGACACCCCCTGCGCTGATTTGAGACCAGCTCCCTCAGGGAGTCGTGAGGAAAATTTGATATCATGGGCTGTTATTCTAGCGGGTGATTTTCCACAAGACAGCAGCATTTAGAACCTGTTCCGCTTTGGGACGTGTCATGTAATATCAAGTCCAATTAGGCTTTTGTTTTGACGTTCAAATATTCATCTCATTTTTATATTCCCTTCTATATTTCCTAAAACACCCCCACTGAGCCACCTTGGTCGTATTTGAGATGCGAACAGATTTTTCTCATAAAATATGTATATTTATGAGTTTCTAGTTGAAAGGGGCTGACTTTGATTGATGGTGTCAGTGTGTGCGCATGTGTTTTTTTGAGATAAAGAGATTGGCCCCCTCCTTCTCCTCCATCTCTCCTTTGTCTTCTCTCTCAAGGGGAAACTGCTCCTCTGGCAACCGGCGAACCAAGTAAACAGATTACAAGATGTCCAGCATCTCTGACAACTCCCCAACACACGTCCTCACAAAATACCACATGAAAAAAAACAAAAGCAAATCAAATACAAAGCACAATACCAATTAATGCTAATGGAAACGTGGCACCCTCACTTTACCAAAACTCTGGATTATTCCTGTACGATCGTTTCTATTCAACAGTATTACACATACAACTAATACTTCTCATTTATATATGGACATGTTTTGTTTAGAACCTAAATTAGTATTTTTTTTTATATATATAATTGATTTACCTTTATATTGCATATTTAATATATACTTAGTCTTTTTACAAATGCTCTTTTTTACTTATTCACTAATATACTTTTTATATAGAATTTAATAAACTTTAATATAATATAATATAATATAATAATATGTACTTTTTATTGTCTTTCTAAACATTTATAGTACCATATAGCCTTTCCCCTAATACTAATATAATATAATATATACATTTTATAATTATTTATTTATATTGCCATATATATAGTCTTTTTACCAATGGACCTTTTTTACTTATTTACTAATATATAATTTAATTAAATTTAAACTGCATATGTACTTTTTTATTATTTTTCTAAACTTTTATAGCACCCTATAGCTTTTTACTCATTTTTACATATATCATTTAGAATTTATATAAATTCTAAATCGGGAAGAAAACATTTATTTCTGTCTGTAACCTTTTTCTTTAATAATGGGCTCTATAACAAAGTATTTCATTTCATTTTTTTTCAACACACATTGGCATATTTGAATCTGATGACCTTTATGTAAGCGATTACAGCAGCAACAACAAAAAAAGTTAAGCAAGTAAACTTGTTTTTATCATAAACAGGAGTCTATTTTAAATGTGTTCAAGCCATTTTACGATGCCCAACCAAGTTATTGCATGTTTCGCCATCAGACCTTGGCAGAATGATGTGTTTTTCCACCATATGTGTGTTTGCGTCTTGCAGGCCAGTATGACTAAGCAGCGGTATTGTTGAGGTAGGGGTGTAATTGTGCAGTGAGTGGGTGAGTGTACAGCAGAGACTGGAGGGGGGAGATGTATTGGAGGGATGGGATGCTGCCCCATAATTAACCCTCTCCCTGTCTCTCCCACAGTACAGATGGTGCCTGCAGCCCATATGGCCCCTAATCCTGTCATTGGCATTCGGCTCCTTCCTAGCCTTTGCTCCTGCGCCCCGTCTCCCTCCCTCCCTCCCCACTTCCATCCTCGCTATTGGCTCTCTACCTTTCTAACAATGTCGTATTGACATGGATAATATGACATTTGCCCAGCTTAAGGATTTGAGGGCAGTGGGCACACGAATGTTGAATGTCAGAGAACAGTGGCCAAGCCGGATGAATGCACTGAACAAACAAGACAATTAGGACAATAGCAGTCGGACTCCGTGTTGTTTAAATAACTATGCCAATAATGTTCGCCGATGGACTGCAGTCATTATTCACCGAATAACAGTGCGTGACGGTTTCAAATTAGACTAGGGAATGAAACTGCTCTGATGGTCATCTTGGCCTATCATGCGATTTACATGATATGAGCACATGCAAACACACGCTAAGTCTGGGGAAGCTGCTTAACTGCTGATTCTTGCCTCGGCTTTGATGTGTGGTGATCAGGTGGTGGCGCAGACCGAATGTTTAATCTCTCGCTTTCAGAAACCCAGGCAGACCTTTCCCCACCCCAAAACCCAGCTGAATTGGGGACAAAGAAGGCCCTAATTAGCCAAGATTGGAGGCAGATGGGGCTCTCCGTGTTGACCTCCAAGCCTCACATTGCGTCTCCCTTATTACATTTCCATCACAATCACCTCTGAACACAACCCATTGCTTTCTGACCTCTACTTTCTCTTTTGTTTTGCTCCTTTTGTTCCCACCACTGATTCCTCCCCTTGCCCCTCCCATTCTCCTCCCCTCCTGCTGTCACGTCTGTCTTGGGCCCTGCTTTATTCCTCCCCATCGAGTGATTGAAGAGCGTGGCTTCATGAGTCTCTTACCTTGATGGTTTTGGTCTGCAGTTTGAGACCGTTGAGCGTGTTGATGGCCTTGTCGGCATCATTGGGGTCCACGTAGTTTACGAAGCCGTAGCCCAAACTCTGGCCTGCAATAGTACGAACGAGAACGCATTGGAAAAGGATGCTTTGATGCTAATTTTCACCGAGACCAAATCGCGTGCTCACCTGTGATCTTGTCTCGGACTAATTTGCAGGACTCGATTTCTCCGATACTGCCGAAAAGGCTCTTGAACTCCTCCTGGGTCATGTTCTGAGGCAGGTAGTTGACGATCAGGTTGGTTTTGCTGTCGTCCGCGGCACCGTTAGTGCTAATGACGGGGCCGTTAGGCAGGCTGGTTCCGCTCGGACCATTGGACACCTGAGTTTCCATGGTGCTAATTATCTGCAGGTGAGAAAATTACAAATTACACTCTTAAGTTGGGTGAAAACGCATAATTTGAGGGGCGTTATGCTTGGCATCCTGGTTTAGAGGTTAAAAATCAATGCGTCTGAGTAGTAGAGGGCCGGAGGAGAACAATATCCCACCTCCCCTCCTCCTCCTCTGACCTCCTCCCTCACTTCAGCTCTCTCCAACTCTCAGCCCTTGGCCCTGCAGATGTCACAGTCCTTTCACTCTTTCCCAGCCCCCTTTATGCTATCCAGGGTCAAACAGCGTTACATCACTCGCCTCTGAGAGGATAAACATCAATGTATTTGCTAACACTATTTTTTTAAATTTCCTTTTAAGAAAATGCAATTCAGACAAATAAAGATGAGAAGATGGCACCTTGTTTATGTGAAAAGTGTGTATGTGTGTGTATGTGTGTGTGTGTGTGTGTCTGGGTCTTTGGTTCATCCATGTTGCTGTGGAGCACAGCATGATGCTTAATTTGGCCTATAGGGGATTTTCAAAGAACAGATGTATGCAGGTTGTAGACGCTACTTCAGTCTTTAACGGTCCCTTTCTGTCACAATGCCCAACTGGAGTTCTCAAAGTCAGTGCTCTGCATCGTACCATAAGCGATCTGTCGTTTTTATCTCTTTTGTGATTTTCTTGTTGATTTTTTTGGGGGGTATTTTTCCCAAGGCTGCTACTCTCCAGAATTTACAAATTGGCGTCTGTAATGTATGTTCATGTATTAGTCACCCTTAGTTGACTGAAAGCGCTCTTTCCCCAGAACGGCCCCTGGGGGTGGAACAGGGTGTCTCACCAACTTAATTAACAATGCATCCGTGATTTTTTTTTTTGTTGAAGTCCAACGATCAACAGGCAGCATCATCTGCCACAAGTGTCTTTGTTTTTTAGATTAAAATTAATTTTAGAAATCCTTCCAGGAATGTAATTGGAAATAAATGAAATTGTATCTGATATCTAATTAAGCGGTTTTTTTTTAATTTACATTCATTTGCACTAACAGGTGAATTTATAGTAGTGTGGGAAGTCTGTTCCTTTGTTCTCCCTTCAGCATTGCCTCTTCCTCTCATCTCTCTGTAACGCTCTGTCTCCTCAGTGGAATGATTTATTCTTGCCTTGAGCCTTACCTCTACCCAGGTTGCCCAGGTAACAGCAGCTTGACGACTGTTGCTATTGGCTGGCTTCTTGACTTTTAGTGTGTGCATGTTCGAGAACGAGCGCTCTGTTAAAATCGCTTTTTGTCTTGAATTAATCAAATAAGCTTTTGGGGCAGCCGGAATTTATATCTCAGGCAAATTGACACTGACAAGGAGAAAGCTCAGAGAGGCGAGTTATTAAAGCTCTGCAAACATGGACCTAGGCAAGACTGACTGTCACCCCAGCAGGAATTTCCAAGAAAAGGGCGTTCGTTTGATCACGAATGGCGATAAAATGGCATCTTTTGCTTGGGCAGTAGCCCATAGCCTTCATAGCCTGGGAACTATCTCGGGTTTAGAATGCAAACCTACTCAAACAGGCCCTGCCTATGCATTGACACAAACAGAGTGAGTCTTGACACAATGTGACAGGATCAGGGCAAATGTGATTTGTGAACTGAAGTAAACCTCCCTATGGCAAGCCACCCATCCTCAGCGATGAATGTAGTGAGTTACACAACGCGCAGGCTCTTCGGCCACGCAGACTGACACGTACACTATCTTACAGCCCAGATACTGGCGCCAGCACAGCAGAGGTAGAGGTGGAAGAGCACTTCATCCCAAAATACATGACTCACATAGACAGGCGAGAGACTGCTTACTGCTGGAGTTCCTTCCACTGCGCTGCTTAAACATCACACACCTTATCAACTGAATCTACGCTATTAAAAATAGGCCTTTCGAAACAAAACGTGGCCACCGAGCGGGCTTTGACGTTCCCGTCCCAGCCTGTACTTTTCTATTTCTGGGAGAGATCTCCCTCAATATTTAATGCACCGCATCAGCATCGCCTACACAAGGACCCAGACTCGCACGCAAACAAGAGCCCTGCATCTCATACGCAAAACCTATTACCTTCCCACCAGTGCGCTGATAAGGATAAATGACTGCAAAGATTCTTCTTAGTGAGTCTGTAATTAGAGTCTGCTGAAATGACCGTCAAGCCTTGTCAAACAAAAGGGATTTTTACCCCTGTTGAATGTCACAGTACACAAATGTAAGATCAAACCAAGCCACTTGGTTTAACTACCACCTTTTTTGTTCTTGAGAGACATAATGAGACTGACTTTAATAAAAATGTAGATGATTTTAAAATATGGTAATAAATTCAAATACATTTACATGTATACACAGGCCTGAAAAGCAGCAAGAGAAAAAAAGCAATCTGACTGTGAAGACTATCGGCTCACGTCACTTCCTTAATGTCCCTGTGCAGTGAAGGAGCCATTTTCTTAAAATAAACAGTCTCGCACAAGATCCGGCGAGGTAAACAAATAAAGCATAAGGCTGATCTAATCTGTAGCTGTATGTAACATGTCAACATTCATGTTCAGACTGCCAGGGTAGCGATTGCCAGCATTATCTGTCAACGAAAATGAATCTGTGCTCGTGACATTTCTGACGCCTAATGCAGACCTTCATTTGATCATTTTTTATTCACAAACGTACGTGTCTGGACGGGCCTCCTGACTGAAATGTGAATGTTGGATTGCCAATAGGCCGTTTCAGTAACAGATTACAGGATTACCCTAAACAAAAGGCATTAGCCACACTCTCAGTGCAGTTTAAGGGATCACTGTGGCAGCTGTAAAACAACAGGACACAAGTCAAAACTGAACGGATAAACCCTTTTCTTTGTTGTTTATTTTTATCGGTGAATTGGGTTCATTTCACTCGTGAAATTCGCAGCGCGAAAGATCATTGATTTATCACGCGGATACACAAGTCTCTCGTATATTTCCCCAAATAGCGCTATTTTATTTTAAAACAATTTATTTGCTATTTTAAATTATTAGAATTCTGAAAGAACGCGGGAAGAAAAGGCGCTCGTGGTATTCTGGTATTCCTGTTCGGTCGCTATCCAGAGTGCTGAAATCGGGAGTGGCTCAAGACAACTACCTACAAAATATCCTTGGTGCCGCGGGCTCCGTTTTTTCAAGTGGGCATTAAGCTCTTCATGTCGTCCTTATAAATAAACACGTTTGCGAATCGTTTAAACTCGTTATCCTCTCGTCCTTTGATTGGACAAGTGCGCGTGTGCTCTGTGAGCATTCACAAATACGAGCTCCTTTTTGCTGAATAAATGTATTGACACAAGCGAACAAAAGAGCCACCCGTTCCTCCTCTACAGAGACCATGGCAGCACTATGAATATTAATGTAAACAGTAGCGCTTTGTGTCGAGGCCAGAGGCTGCGGGACTCTCCGGGAACAATGAGCATTGCAACTGTCTTCACTTTTACTCTATTCTACAGGAACAAGACCATTTAATAATAATAATAATAATAGCAAAAATATTAAAAATGTACATTTAAATAACAATGTAATCGAAGAAATGGCTGTAGCTCATGTCTTTCCTTTATATAAAAAACAGCTGTATAATATTCTGTTCTATTCTATTCTAGAATAGAATAGAATTCTATGACTATGACCATTTATTTATATAGCACAATTAAAAACAACCCACGCTGACCAATGTGCTTTACAATAACTAAAACTACAACAAATAAAAACAGAAACAATTAAAATGGTAATAGAGTACCATTAAAAAAAGTACTTCAGCATAAAAAAAACAGTAATAAACCATAGAAAATGCTTCAAGTATTAAATGCTTTATCAAACAGAAAAGTTTTAACTTTGATTTAAAAGCAGGCAAAGATGGTGCCAGTCTATTTCGTGGAATTTGGTGCTATTCTAGTTCGTTGACATTTTATTTTTCTCACCCGAAACCCGTATTTAAATGGAGTGGTCGTAATATTTAACAATTAATTTGGTTATTTGGGCTGTAAAATCAGTTTCTGTACTGTACCTGTTCAAAATAATCACCGTTCAAATTCACAACAAGGCCTGCACAACATGGTGATCCTATAGCGTGCGTAACGGCCTTGACAGTAGGCTATACAAATACTGTCAAACATCTTTTTTTTTAAACGCCGTCTTTTTCTTTAATTGACAACCCCCTTTATGAACGATTAACGAGGAGCTCGCGTGTTCAGACGGCTGTGTTGTGTTGTGTATCGTTGTGATGTCCTTGTCCTTGAATTGCGTACGCGCCTGGAGAAGGTTATCTGACTCAACGGTTTTATGTGCTTTGGCACTGCGGTAGAGGCTCGTGCTCACGGAGGACTGCGGAACAACACGCCGAGGGGCCCGTCATTCATTCATCACACCATCGATTGAGACTTAAAGCGAAAGAGAAGCGCGTCGCTTCCTATCGCCTTTTGTTTGAGGTCACTATAAAACAAGTCAGGCTGTCCTTCACAGCAGACCAATATATAGTTACTTATTTGTCAAGACTAGAGGCCTCTATAACCTCAAACGCAAAATGTTGTGTAGCCGACAAGGGTTTAGCCTAAGGTAATATTTAAAGTGGGCTATTACAATTATATATATAATACAAAACGAGTCGCCATTATAGCCAATCTAGTACCATTATCACGTCTTTCTGATAAGAAACAAAGACGGTTAACCTGACAGCACGCTTCATGTCGAGCAGGCCTAAAGAATTCAACGTAATTAACGAATCTTAACATTTTAAACGTGAACATGTTTGTATTCAAATAAGCGGTTCTGTTTATGTTTTCCCGCAGAAAATCTACGTGAAGATGGTGATTCTGTGCGCGTGCCATCGCTGTCTTCTTTTAGAGAAGACACGCCCAAAACGCTTTCCCTCAAGGCCTTTGTATTCCCCTCATATTGCTTATTTACCTTCTCGGTGTCTATGTATTTTTGGTGAGGGAAGAAGAAAAACGCAACTCGCTAAGATATCGCAAGAAATGCGTGATATTTAGCCGTTTCCATGCATGACATTTCGCCTTTTCCTCTCTCGCGGTGTCTTATATAGCATCGCAAGCTTTAGGAATTTTGTCCTGCCTGATTCAATCCAAACCAATGGATGCATAATATCTCCCCTCCCCCTCTGGTGAGTGACTCGACCCTTTTCTTTGCCTTTGCTCTCGATGGGCTCTCAGCCTCCGAGGTATCGTGTTTTGTCTCCGAGATTCAGTCTCGAGCATCCTTTCCGAGCGAGGCATGTGCCTGCCGCCTTACGCCCTTCTCCTGCCTCCGCCGCACCTCTGCTATTTCTGAGGAATTCCTCAGCGCTCTTTGTTAATAATGGCTAATTATCGCTTGAACGCGTTTAATTAGCGGATGTAGGAATAAATGTATGTTGCGGAGGGTTTCACGTATTACGTGATTTATGACGAGTGGCTCTTGCGGCAGGAGAAAGCATTGTTTTGATTCTCTTCAGAAAACGAAGCGAGCTCGGCTGTAGCGATGCTGGCGCATGCCTGTATCACATTACTTATACCCTGGGCTAATCGTTAATCTTGTTTACGGAATCCGCGATTAGATGTGCCAGTATGTTTGACCACCAAATGCTGTGTGCATGTTTTGGTTAGCTTATATTGAAATACCCTATATTTTGTATCGAATTATATACATCTCAGCTGTTAGAATTGATTTTGTGGTGATGCTGTTATTGTTTTTTCACGAGATAGACCAAAAAAAGGGCATACGTACAGTAACCATTCTTGATGTACAAAGATGCTAGTGATTTAGGTCCTTCAAGTCGCAGGTCTTCAGGCTGTCTTGCAGATATTACGCCGTGGTGTGGCTCGAGAAAGGCGAATGTCAGGTTCCAAACGAAAAGAAAAAAAAAGAAAAACGAAAAACGACAGTCTTCGGCAGGAAAGCTCAGCCCGTGCGATTGTAGGTTTCCTCAGCAGTGTGAAAATGAGGAGAAGGGGGTTTTCTTCAGGACGATGATGAGAGAGAGATTTCTCTCCGTGTGGCGTGGGCGATGGTTCAGATGCAGAAAAAGACAGGAGCCATGCTTTCTCCTTCTCTTTACCCCTCGCTCGCTCTCTCTCATCCCCTTACTCAAGCCTCAGTTTTTCCCTCTATTGATTATTTGTCCTGGCAGCACAGCTCTTCTTCTCAAATTTGTAGGTTTCCTCAGCAGTGTGAAAATGAGGAGAAGGGGGTTTTCTTCAGGACGATGATGAGAGAGAGATTTCTCTCCGTGTGGCGTGGGCGATGGTTCAGAAAAAAAGAGAAGCAGTGATCCCCAGTAGGGTGTGTCCAGGGGAGGGTGTTGTGGTTCTGCTGTTGTGTGTGTATTTCCCAGCTCCTCGCAGGCTCCTTCTGTGCCTCTGCTGCAATGTTCTTCTTTTATGTGTCCTTCTGGCTGGCAGAGCTTGCTGCTGATTGGCTAATTGTGCAGGGAGGGTACTACATGGCAGCCATTGCAATGCGCTCCTCTCCCATTATCCCCTTCAGGAGAGATCACCGAGAGCCCCCCGTCCCTCCACCCTCCACCATCTCTCCACTCTTCCTTTTGCCCTCCCTTTCTTCCTGCCCCCCCCTCCCCAACACACATGCAGAGCTGAGTGAATAGAGCTCCACCTGCACTCCGAACAGATGGGTGCAGAAAAAGACAGGAGCCATGCTTTCTCCTTCTCTTTACCCCTCGCTCGCTCTCTCTCATCCCCTTACTCAAGCCTCAGTTTTTCCCTCTATTGATTATTTGTCCTGGCAGCACAGCTCTTCTTCTCAAATTCCATCTTCTCAGTCTGACGCGTTGCATTTCTAAGAATGCCGTGAATGAGTCCGGCGTTTTTTTTCTTCCAAATCCAGAATGGCTGTGCGAAGGCATAACTGTGTGAAGGTCATAACACAGCCCACTGCTTAACCGTTCATGTCAGGTGCGTGTTGAATGCATATGTTGCATAATCACACAAAGGCCAGTGCTTACAATATGGATTAAGACATCATTTTGGTTGTCAGTGTCATATAGATGTCATGCATTGTTTGTCTGATCCCACTGACTTAATGTCCAGCGACACCTAAAATCAGAAGGCATGTGTCTGCTTATTGTTGCTCGTTGGTGCTGATATTAAACATCGACACACACTGATTGCAGCGGTTGTTATCTCAAGCTCCCTTCCCCCCGTTTCCAGTCTCAGGGAGTGGGTAGAGCTCACTGAGACAGGCTGTTTGGTCTCATCTATAATGCATCTCCTGCCCCAGGACTTGATGTGTGACAAATGACCTATTTCTGCACAGACCCCCACAGGGCCTTGACCTGAGGGAGCGCGCTCGGTATATCTCTGTTACGCGGATGTCTTTGGCACTTTCATAGGTGCGAGTCTCCGTTGGGTGAAGTTGGAGGAGATGGTTGCAGAGCATGTAGACTTATGGAAATGTACACTTAGAAATGTTTATTTTAGTCTGTTTATGTGCGCGCCGGAGACCGCGGAGGTCGCTGGAACTCACCTACATCCGCATCGGCCTTGGGTGACCTTGTGGAAGTCGAGCGCTGTGTGTGTGTGTGTGTGTTTGTGCGTCTTCAGCAGAAGTTCTCTGTGATTATGCAGATTGTAGACAGTCACAGCACAGGTATCAGGCATCAGGAGTCAGAGAGGTACAGAGTGGGTGGTATTGTCGTTGGCGGGCAAATGCGCTGTAATGCAGATCAGAAAAACAGCATTTTCTCAACGTGTCTACTCTGAGTAATATACACAATTATATATATTTTGGGGCAATGGGTTCTTGGGAAATCATTGGAGATGGGCGAGTGGGCAGATGCGTTCAGACTCGTTAACCTTTTGATAATCTCGAGAGCGCTGATTGTTGTGCATTTCTGGGTTAGGGGTTAACAGTGAAGGCCAAGCATTCTCCGGTAATTTTGACTCAATCGGGTGCTCTGGAATGGATGGCAATGCGACTGCGACGGGTGTTATCATTTATTACGATTTTGAACTAGTTTTTGTTTTTCTATTTTCTGTTTTCATTTGAATTTTAGCTAAAGCAATGGTCCACCCAAAAATGATCATTCTGTCATCATTTACTCCTGTTTGACTTTCTTTCTGAGGAACATAGAAGATATTTTAATGAATGTTGGTAACCAAATGGTTTAGGGTCTCTCTGACTTGCATTGTATAGAAATGAAAATACTATGGAAGTCAATGGGACCCGGAACTGTGTGGTTACCAACATAAAATATCAAAATATAATCAAAATAATCAGAACATCTTCTTTTGTGTTTCACAGAAGAAAGTCATACAGGTTTGAAATGACATGAGGATGAGTAAATAATGAGTGTTTGTATTCTGGGTGAATTTTTCTTCAGTTTTAGTCATTTTGTTGTATATTAATTTTTATTTCAGTTTTAGTCTTAGTACATGAAGTTAAACTAAATGAAAATGAGAACTGTTGCCTTGGCAACTATCTGTAATAAAATAAGTTTTTCATATTTTATTTCAGTTAAAGTTTGTTTTATTATACGTAACATAATGGTTTTAGTTTTAGTTAACTATAGTAACCCTGGCTGTGAATCGTCCTGGCCTTCGTCCTCCTCTCTCATGCTCCCTTTCACTTTCAGTTCTTCCTCCTCTCGGTTCTTGTCCCGCATCTCTACCCCAGTCAGATTCTGAGTGTGGGCCCTGTCTGATATTTTACATAATTGCCTTACATAAGTAGCCAGCTCAGCTCAGAGCTTGGATGATATTAGTGGCGATGAATATTGCATGAGGAAGGCACTCGTTAAGCGTTAATAAGAGGATAGAGATGGACCCCGCTGTCAGTCTGTCTTAACCCCGCCCACTCCGCTCTGTCAAGTCGCGACCGAGTGAGGGGGAAAGACTTCGCTATTATAGGTGCGGGTGTTGTTTTCTGCTTTGTGAGCTGAATAAAAGCAGCACTTGTGGCACAAAGAGCCCAGGCCTGTTAGCTGCCTACAGTTCCACACGCACCCTGTTCACACTTAGCGTGAATAAACCGGCTTAATTGCAGAGGCTCATTAGGGGTCTTCGCTGGCAGCAGGGCAGCTGAATCCAGCCCGTGGGTAAGAGGGCATCTGAAGCACCTATTCACCACCCTGATTCAGAGGATCAAGCATGGCAGTTGCTTGAAGCTCTCTCAGTAATTTCACTGATGATTTTTAATGTTCAGGAGCCCCTCCAGAAGAGCCGATTAAGAGACTGGCGCTTTTGTTCCAGTGGCATTATAGCATAAGAGACTCTAAGGCTCTCTTTTGCTCTTTCAATGATCATTGATTTTAGTCACTTTTTTTATGGCCATCCAAACGTGGCTGTTGTTGAGATCACTGGTGGAGGAAACCTTGTTTTTTATCTAATAACTCAAAAATGTCTGTTTTACATTTGCAAATTGTGGATTTACATTTATGGGAAGAAAGCATGTTATGATCGCACTGAATCTATTTCGCACCAGCGCAGGAGATATGATTGTGTGAAGCAGATGTGTTCCATTGCTACAGCTAGTGTTATTCCCCTTATTATGGTCTGAGGTAACGGATTAGACTGGCTCAAATGTCTGTGCTAAAGAAGATTTTTCCTGGATTCGTATTTTCATTTGGCAGTATTTTAAAATAGCTTCTATAATGCTATTCCTTACCTTAAAATGCCTTCATTACCATATACAAATGAAAATATACATGTACACTGTAAAACATTATACTGTACACCATCCATTTCCATTTTGTATAGTCATAAACATTCGTTAGTATTTGGTTTCTGGAGCTGTATTTTCAGTTGAAATATTTTTATATGATTTAATTTGAATAAAATGTGAAACATTGTTACTACTTTGAAAGGTGCAAATTAAAATAAATAAAAAATATTATATTAATATTGGTATCACCATGGTGTACTAGCGGAATTAGGGATATTAATGCACATATAAATAATAAATTAATAAATAAAAGCTGTATTCTTTCAATCATGATAATGCAAATTAAAATAATAAATAAATATATTAATATTGTTATCACCATACTATACTAGTTAAGCATTAACTAACATATATTATAAATACTTATATCATCCTTTAAATGAATAATCCTGTATTCATTTACCCAAGATAAGTGTAAACAGAGTTAATAGATACTATAAATTATATTCATAGTAATTATGTGTAATATATTAATGTTGTTTGCAGCATGCTGTATGTATGCATGAAAGGTCACTATAGATGAAAATGTCAGGCAAATGCGTAAAATGTAAATGAAAAACTAATATCCTTCACCATGCAATGTTCTGAAATCAGTTTAATGATTTCTATTTCATTTCAATGTCATCAGTATCATGTATCAGTATCATATTCTCAAATATTTAATCCAGTGCTTTTTTGCAGTGCTTCAATATTAGTCCTATCACTTTTACAGACGTCTTATGAATTAATAGTAACTCTACTTGAGTACACCATTTCAGCATAATTTGAACCTCTGCTCACGTACTGAAAGCGGTAGCTCAGGATGTAGGAACATATAATGAAGAGGAATCTCATTATCCAGCTATGCTGAGCGTGACGGCTCATATAATCATAGTCAATACACTGTTTGGCATTTGTTATGACAGTATTTCATGAAGGGTCCTGACTCATAGAATGCTGTTATGTTGAGTTTATATGTAACTTGGCGACACCTGCAACAGTATGTGCAAACTGTAAATCACACTAGCCAAGGTGCATCTTAAATATATACAGTAGGGTCCAAAGGTATGAGACCACTTGAAAATCCGAGGTGTTTTTTTTATTTTTTATTTAAACTTATACAATTAAAGCTTTAAGATTTTGATGGAT